TAAACTCTGGGATCACCTCCACCAGATGTGCGATTTCCGGCTGGATGTAGATGCCCCCTACCCCGCGCCTACTCCGGAAGAGTTGCGCAAAAAGCCGCAGCCCATTCCTTATCCGCAGGTAAAGATCAGGCACCGTCACCTGGGTCGCAACCTGGAATCCGTGCTGAAGAAAGGCATTGAAGAGCAGGATGAAGAAAAGAAACAAGGCTTTACCCAGCATATCGGGTATTATATGAAGCTGGCTTATAGCAACTGGCATAAAGAGCCGGCCTACGACGATATGATCCGCAGCGAGCTGAGCCAGCTAACCAAGGGTGAACTCCAATATGAACCGGGTGGCTTTAAAGTACATTTTGATGCACGTGCTCAAGGCAACCAGCCATTGAACATTGGTGGCGGTCGCAATAACTTTAAGAATAACCGCAATAATGGCAAAAACCCCAATAACAACAATAATAACACCAACCGCAATGCCAATCCCAATGCGCAGGCAGGCGGCAGCAGCTTTAATAAAAACAGGAAATTCAAAAAGAAATAAATCCCTTCCGGGAAATATTGATAAAGAAACGGGCGTTGCCCGTTTCTTTTATTTAATGCCTGTATGTCTCTACCATAAATTGATGCACCTTTGTAACAATATCATATCCTGCTGTTTTGCAACTGCTGTTTAATATTAATCTTGCCTTCAGGGCTATCCGTACCAACCTGCTGCGATCGGTATTGACCATACTTATCATTGCGTTTGGCATTATGGCCCTGGTTGGCATTCTTACCGGCACGGAGGTGATCAAATCTGCCGTACTGAGCAATTTCAGTGAGCTGGGCGCTAACTCATTCCAGATTACCGGCAATGTATTTAGTCAGAAAAAAAATAAAAGAGGCGGCCTTAGTATCTGGATCAGCGAGGGTAGGAATATAAATATGGCCGAGGCCAAAGCCTTTAAAGAACGATTCTTTATTCCGGCCAAAATAGGGTTAAGCATGCAGGCCAGCGGCATGACCACGGTCAGCTTTGCCGACCAGAAAACCAATCCCAATATCAATACGATGGGGATAGATGATGCTTACTTCAACATCTCTAATACGAAGATGGAAACCGGGCGTACATTCTCCCCTTATGAGCTGCAATCCGGCAGTTACGTCTGTGTGCTCGGCCGCGGCATTGCCACCCGTTTGTTTAAAACAAAATGGGCAGATGCTATTGGCAAAACCGTTACGGCGGGGACGGCCAAATTCCGGGTGATCGGGGTCGCCCGAGAGCAGGG